TTGCATCACATTTGTCGCTTTAGTTACACTTTTGGAAATGATGGTGAGCATCCCAAATTGCCTTACAAGTGCCACTTTCTTCTCCAGATGTTACTGTTTTACAAGTCAGATCATCTAGAATATGTTCCGTTCCAGAGTTTTAAGACCGTAGTGTTTCTCCATCTCCCCTCAGGCACCTTATATCAGTTTTTTTTCCTAGATTTTTAAGTGTTAAAGTGAAGTATTTAAAAAATAAGGAAATAAAGAGCATCTCCCTTTGAAGGAACATTTTATGAGTCCTGTTCCTTAGATGATCTGTATAGGGTACATACATTTAAATTCATTTAATGAAGCTCTGTCTTCTCCTCGGTTCAACTTTCTTGCTGTTGTTTACATAATTTTGTTAGGTGTCCAAAAGTAAACTGCACTAGTTTGTCTGCTACAGAATAAGTGATTCTTCTGGGTCTCTGCTGTGCATAGAAAAGAAGTGGACCGACGTTTGCTGATGAGCTGGCGGCCAGGATCAAAGGGGATGGCGGGAGCCGAATGGGACAGGAACAGACAAGTGAGCCACGGAGATGTGGTAATGGGTGGTCGGTGAAGTGTAGGGCCCTCTGCTGCTCTGCTGGCTTCGCTGAGGGAAGATTTTCCTTTTATGGTGGGGGGAGGGAGGACGGAGTCTTGCTCTGTTGCCCTCGCTAGAGTGCTTTGGCGTCATTATAGCTCACTGCAACCTCAAACGCCTGAGCTCAAGCAGTCCTCCTGCCTCAGCCTCCCGGAGTGCTGGGATTACAGGTGTGAGCCACAGTGCCTGGCCCAAAGTTGAATATCTTGCTCGTAGCTTACGAGTCGTGAGGATGGCAGACGTGTGAAGAATCAGTATATATATACCAGGCGTGGGCTACGTATTGTTAAAACTGTGAAATGTTCTTCAAGTTTTATCCTCAGGGGATGCAAAACCTCAGAAGGCATTGAAAGAGAAGAAGGAAAGGAGAACTCCTTCAGACGGTAGGTATTTTCCCTCAATTCTGCTATTTTAGGAACCTTTTGACTCGGGAATGTTGCTTACCTAATTTATAAAGTATTGCTTTAAATGCTGATGAATAGGGTCTGTCTCCATTTACTTTTTTAAAGCATCTAAAAGCATGTTATGAGGTGTTGGGAGGAGGAGTGGGTGTGGGGTGAAAGTGCCTGTAAAGATTTGAATTATTTGATTTTATAGTGATCATTTCTAAAATTCTCTAGACGTATAGAAACTAGGGCTTTCTAGCACTTGTTTTCAGTAAAGAATATGTTGGGCCCTTTTGTATTAAATAGCGATGTCAGTATATTCCACTCATCACTGCGCCCGTCTGCTGCTCAGTGTGCCCTTCCTTCCCCAGATTTCTTGGGGTGATGGGTCTTGAATGTGGCGATTGCGTCACATCCTTGCTTCAGAATAAGTCAGTCTGGCTGAGGGGAGATTGCCTAGAGAATTTGCTCTCTGCTCCGGACTTCGACAGACTCGGGAATGCAGAGAGCCTTTCGAGGGCTTCAGTGGACTCTTGAGTGAGGTTTTGTTTGAAATTCGTCACCCTGCCTCACATACTCTTTGTTAAATATGGTTAGATAAAGTCCATGCCCGCTGTGGAGCCATAGAGGCTAAGCTGGGAATTTGGCTTCCAAACCCATCTTTAACGCTCCCTGCAAAACATTTCCGTTTGCTAGATGAGGAAGATAACTTATTTGAACCCCCCAAGCTGACCGACGAAGACTTTTCACCATTTGGCTCTAGAGGTGGCCTGTTCAGTGGAGGCAAGGGACTTTTTGATGATGAGGATGAGGAGGTAAGTCAGTGGTACCCAGCCGTGCTCCTTGTAGCTATGTCATGGTCCACAAGGAAGAAATGCACTTTGTTCCTTTAGCGGGGGAAATGGCTTCTCTTTTGGAAGTTGCTTCTGTTTTCATATTTTGGGACATTTTGAATTAAGATCACAGAATGAGAAACACTGTATCCTGATGTGCTTTGTTAGGTGAGGAGAGGATGTGAGAGTGTGAATAGTGAATAATTTACTTGACGAGGTGATCGTTTCTTGTTTTATCTGTTGTCTTCTATCTTTGTATTTAATTCCTAGACAAAGGGTCTAATTTTGCTATACTCTTTACTTTACAACTGATTTTCTGGCAGAACAGTAGATATGTAGCTTTAAATTTTATAGTTTACTTTTCCTTAGAAATCCTTAAACACACCTACATTTTCTCCTGCTTTGAATTCTGTGTCATGGACCTTATTACCACCAGAGTGACCTCTTCACGGAAGCCCCCCAGGATCGTCAAGCTCGCTCCCCTGTTCACGAAGGTAAGCTGGGATTGAGGCTGCCTCTGCTTCTTGGTGTGAAGAGTTCCAGAATTCTTTTTTTTTTTTTGAGACAGAATCTCACTCTGTTGCTCGGGCTAGAGTGAGTGCCGTGGCGTCATCCTAGCTCACAGCAACCTCACACTCCTGGCCTCAAGTGATCCTTCTGCCTCAGCCTCCCGAGTAGCTGGGACTACAGGCATGCGCCACCATGCCCGGCTAATTTTTTCTATATATTTTTAGTTGTCCGATTAATTTCTTTGTATTTTTAGTAGAGACGGGGTCTCGCTCTTGCCCAGGCTGGTTTCGAACTCCTGAGCTCAAGCAATCCACCCGCCTCGGCCTTCCAGAGTGCTAGGATTATAGGCGTGAGCCACGGCGCCTGGCCTTACTAATGTGTTTTGTGAATGAACTGAAACTAAAAGTTCTTGGTGCATGGTATTGTTTTTTTCTGTAAAGACAGGAGGTCTACACTGGCTCATGGCTGTGGCTGTTCTGTCTCTCCACCCACAGGGGACGCTGATGTGTTTGGTACTACCTCAGCTCCATCACGGAAGGAACCTCAGAAGCCTGAGCAGCCCCCTCCAGGGAAAAGCCCATACCCCCCACCTCCCACTGGCCTCTTTGATGATGATGATGACGACGACGACTTTTTTGCAACATCCTGCAGCAAACCTAAGACAAGTACCTGTTCCAGCCTCTGTTTCTGGGAATTTAGGTGGAAAAAGAATGTTTGACCTAAAAAGGACATAAGCTCCCCTAGTTGTGTCTCCTGTAGTACCGGAATCCCTCCTTGAGCAGTCCTGTTACTGAGTTGTCTTGTCTGTACTTAAATAGTTACAGTGCCTCGGAGGTCTCTATTTTATGAACCAATCTTTTCTGCTCTGGAAACTAATTATTAAGATTATCTTGCTTACAGAGAGCTGAAATCTTTTCGCCTATAATTTTTGCTCAGAATTTCTAGTTCTGACTTTTGGAATTGCAGAGAAAGGTTTAATCATACTTTCATACTTAGCAGCCCTAAGTAAATTTTATGAGCAGAATGTCACATGCTAGATATCTAGTTCCCATTTTCTCTTCTCTGCCAAAAAGCTCAGGTGCCCTTGACCTTTCCTTGTATGACAGGGTTTTCAGCCCCTACTTGGGAACTCTCCTTTCTTCTCCCCTCAAATTTAAGTCCGTATGTCCCTGAAGTCATTCCTCTAAATCATTTGTTCCTTAACGTGCAGATCAGCCTCCCAGGGGCTCTTGTCAAAGTGAAGATTCTGATTCAGTGGGTCTAGGGTGGGGCCTGAGAGTCTACCTTACTAACAAGGTCCCTGGGGGGCAGAAATTGCTGGTTTGTGGATCACACTCGGGATAGCAGGACTTAGATTCATTGGGCGCTTTTCCGGAAAAGTAGATCACCAAGGTGCACACAGTTTTCAGCAACTTGCCAAAGGGAAGGATGCCGTAAGGAATAGGTGGAACCAGAATGCATTTGGAAGCAGGCTGTCTGGATTTACTCTCCTTTTCCAGTGTTAGGTGTAGCGAGTAAGGATGGAAGCAGAAATGTGAGGGAAGATAATAGCCTAGTTATTCTAGAAAGAGTACAAACAGATGCATAGGGCACGCAGGTCTAGGCTGGCTAAAATGCCGGTGAATGGAGGTAGTATTGCCTCTCAGTGGATATCTTTCAGAACTGATTTGGAATCACAAATAAGTTGATGCTGCTTTTTTTGACAACTGCTGATGTCTCAGGACATTCATGAATCAGTGTCCTCGTTTCAGTGACACATGCCTCATTTGGTACAGCAGTGCTTGTGGCAAATGCTGGAAACCACCCAAATATTCCTTAGTAGGGTAAGCTGTGGTCCTTCCATTCAGTGGAATTTTATGAAGCTGTTAAAAAGAATGGGTCTGTGCATGTCGATTTGGAAAGATTTCCTAGGTGCATTAAGTGGAAGATGAGAATGGTAAGACACATTGTTCAAATTGTCTTACAGTATAGCCTTATTCGTGAATGTCTAAAGTTAGTTCATTAGTATGTCCTTCGGGGGAGTTAGAAGCATGTATACTAAACTGTTCCCTGTGTCTGTCTTGTTTGCGTGGGCTGGTGGAGTTAGGGGGGGATTTCAGAATTTCCTTTTATCTGCTTCTGTATAGTTTGATTTTTAAAAAATAGGTGAGCCTCACTTCTCAGATCCCTAGAATGGTTGACTTAGTGGCCCTCCTAAATAAATGGTCTTTCTTCCTTTGAAGCCAGTCCAAGCTATGCTAAGCGTAGGATGCTGCTGCTTGGACAAGGGTGTCAGCCAGATGGTTAACTTGTCTGTCCTGTGTTTCAATTTAGCTGCTGTTGTACTCTTTGAAAAATTCTAAGGGAAAAACATAGTTCCACTTACTGTTTCTTTATTACTGACCAAGAAATAACATACCTTTTCTATTTATTCTTTAGGAGGGAAGAATTTTTAATCTGTGAATTTCGTGGTAGGATTTTCGACCTTAGTGTAATTTTATGCCATGGTGTCTTTTTAAAGGCAAAGTCCAATCCACTGCTAATATCTTTGATGATGAGGAAGGAGATCTGTTCAAAGAAAAAGCAGGGGCATTACCAGAAGCCACTGTGAGTCAGACAGATGAGAATAAAGCAAGAGCAGAAACAAAGGTGAGCAGGCGGGACGACCGGACTGAGGAGTGTTGATTGGGGCGTCTTACTAATTCTTCTGGATCCCAGAGGGCAGTATTGTTCTGTTTCACATTTATATTGAAGAATTTAAAGCAGAAAGTGGAAAGGGTACAGTGAATACCCAAATAACTGCCACCCAGATTCAGGAATCTGGCACCAGGGACCTCCTTTTATAGGAGGAGGTTATGTAACTTAAAAGATTATATAACCAAAATCTCATTATTAACAGTTACGAGATTAACAGTAATTCTGTAGTAGAATCTAATATCCAGTCCATATTCAAATTGCTTCTGTTTGTCCCAAAATGTCATTGTAAAATCACACTCAACAAATATAATACTGATTTAAAATTATCTCATATATAGTCCATACTCTAATTTCCACTTTTGTCCCAAAAATGTCCTTGATAGCAGTCCCCAATTTTTTTTGGCACCAGGGACTTCCTTTAATGGAGGACAATTTTTCCACGGAGCGCAGGTGGGGAATGGTTTTGGGGTGATTCAGGCACATTGCACTTATTGTGCACTTTATTTCTATTATTATTACATTGTAATATATAATGAAATAATTATACAACTCACTGCAATGCAGAATCTAATGCTGCCGCTGATCTGACAGGAAGCAGAGCTCAGGCAGTGATGTGAGCGATGGGGAGCGGCGATCAATACAGATGAAGCTTTGCAGTTGCCCCTCCCCTCCTGCTGTGTGGCCTGGTTCCTAACAGGCCACGGACCCGTACTGGTCAGTGGCCCAGGGCTTGGGCACTGCAGCTTTATAGCTTTTTTTTTTTTTTTAAAAGAAACCCAGGATCCAGACAATGTGTCTGCGTTGCATTTGGTTGTCCTTTCTCTTTGGTCTCCTTTTAAAAATGTAAAGCAACACCTCCCACATTCCGTTCCCCCCCACGACCAGCAGGTTGTCTTGTAGAATGTGTCACGTGGTGAATTTACTTGATTATTTTCCTGTGATTAGATTCAGGTTAAGCACTTTGGGCAAGAATACAGGCAGGCCAGGTCGTGCACCTCCCATTGCATCACCTCCCGAGACATGTCAGGTCCGTGGTCTGCCCCCTGGTGGTGGGGTTTTGTCACCAGTTAAAATGGTGTCTGCCACTGGAAAGGTACCCTGTTCTCTTCTGTCATCAATAAGTTCATCTCTTAACGGGCATGGTGGTACGTGCCTGTAGTCCCAGCTATTCAGGAGACTGAGACAGGAGGCTTGCCTGAGTCCAGGCGGGAGCTGTGATGGCACCACCACACTCCAGCCTGAGTGACAGAGCAAGACCGTCTCCAGAAAAAAACAAAGTTAATCTCTAAAGTGATACTTTGACACTTCGTGAATATCTGCTCTCTACCAGCCTTTCAGTCAGTGGCTTTAACATCCATTGATAATCTTTTCCTGAATCAGTTATCCTGTTTGTGGGTACAAAAGAATGTTTTTCTAATTCTGTATTTCTTCTACATGTAATTAGCTGGCATTCTTATGAATAGAAGAGCTTTTTCTCTTCCCTCCCCCCATTTTTAGTGTTGCTGGATTTTACAATGCATGATGATCCATTACCATTGTTACTGTCTTTTAATGCTCAGACTGACCTACATTTGCATTTGGCCAGTGGCTGTGTGCCCAGCGTCTTTAAGCCCTTCTGGCTGCCGGCCCTCATGCTGGCCCATGGAGCTGATCCCTCCTCTCTCTAAAACACGTCTCATCGTGTCATGTCCTTGCTGTGAAGGCCCGACTTTCCCCTGCCAAACACCGACGGCCCAGTGTTCAGAACTGGTAGGCTCCCGGGGCAGCCTGCTGTGCCACACTGTCTCTGTCTGTGTGTCTTCTGTGCGCCGTGTGGCGCAGGCAGGGCGTCTCGCTCTCTGATACGCCGGACGTACCCTCTGCTTTCTTTTGCTCTTCTCTCCTCACACGATTCCCTTGGCCTGGAGCCTCCTTGCTCATATCATACCCCCGTGTCCCAGACTTGTCTGTCCTGAGACACGTACCTCTTTTTTCTTCTTCTTTTTTTATTGTTTTTTTTTTTATTTTGTTTTTTTGTGAGACATGTACTTTCTCAAGGAACCGTTTTTGGCCCCTATCATGGCAGGGACTCAGTAAAGAAAATAAGTGAATGATTGAGTAAACCCTCATTTCCAGGTATCATATTTAAATGTTAATCCTTAATTTTTCTTTTTTCCCCCCCTCATCAAAGGTTACCCTACATTCCAGCAAAAATCTCAAGCTTCCATCTGAAACAAAGACTCAAAAAGGTTTATTTTCAGATGAAGAGGATTCTGAGGTATGAAATTCTTTTTCTTAGTTGTGATGATTAGTCAATGGATATGACATTAGAAACTATTTCCGAATCATATTTTTCTCAGTAGAGGTGTAAGACTTTTTGTTAAGTACTTCAGTTCTTTGAAAATAATCTCTCGAGAACATACAGTTTTTAGAAAGCAGTATGTATAGAATACTTTTCACCTTTGGGTTTGGATCCATTGCATCTCCTGGGAGGAGAATACTCTCTCTGAGATTCTCAAATTTTAGGCTGGTTATTAGTGTACGGTGTAGTGAGGCTCTTGGACCATAATGGAAATCACCACGCTGCTTCCTTTTTTGACAGCCTCGCTAACAGATGGTAGGCTCAGTGCCATAGCAGATATAACCTGGCACAGCCTTTTGTCTCATGACCACGAAGAGGCCGTGGGTGGCCCTGGTCCACAGACTGCCTCGGTCCCTCCAGGCCTGTCCGTACCAGCTCTCAGAAATTTCACAACTTTTTCTGACTCTCAGGCTTAGGTCCTTTTAGGGCTAATTTTAAGTTAGCCTTTTAGGGGATTGGAGATCTGTATGAGAATGTGATGACAAGTAGTTAAGTCCGCTTCACAGAAAAATATGTGGACATGGCAGAAATTTACATGTAATTTCAAAAAACTGTAGACTCTAAGGTTAGGCTCTTAGGCTTGTGCTTTGTGCTCTAGCCAGGGTGAACATGTAGCTCTTTGGAAGCAGAGAGATTGCCCTGGATGTAAATAATGCCTTAGAGGCTGGTATTTGATTGAAGGCTAGTATACAAAAGATGGCAGTTAATGGGGCTGCCCTGTCTCGTCCTCATGCTCCCCGAGCGCCACCTGCACACCTGCACCTTGGGGTCTGTGCGCTGGTTTGTGCCACCCTGCGGAATGTTCTTCCCAGAATCTGGGTGGCTGGCTGGCCTCCTCTTCCGGTTTTCTGTGAGGCTACCCTGATGACTGATACATGACAGCAAGTCTGGCAGCTCACACCACACTGCGCTCTTTGTCCCCTCCTCCATTTCATTGTTCTCCACAGCACATGTCGCCAGGGACAGTGTGTGTTTGCTTGTTCATTGTCTTTGCCCCCAACTAGAGTAAGCTCCACGAGGGCAGTGTGTTTCAGTTCCTGCTTGTATCCCCAGCATCCTGTCCCTGATACCAGTGCTTGGCACGAGGTAAGACATCTAGTAATTGTTGACTATATGAAGAACCAAAGGCGAGGAATTTGAGTGATTTATGAGGTGTTCTGATTGTTTATTGCTGTGGAACAAATTACTCCAAAACTTAGTGGTTTAAAACACCAATGGTTTTATTGTCTCTTACAGTTCTAGAAGTTGATTTGGACTCAGCTAGACCATTGTCACTGAGGGTCTCTTTTGTCCGGAGGTGGCTGGGCTGAGAATTAGCTCACTCCTGCAGCTGGGACCCCTGGGGCATCCCCCTGTGGCCCTGTGTGGCCTCCCAGCATGCAGCCTCAGGGAAGCTGGGCCTCTCATGTGGAGGCTTAGGGCTGCAAAGGGGACACCTGAGAGAGAGCTGGGTGGAGGTGGTATGGCCTCTTGTCCCAGCTTTGAAAGTCAGAGGTGTTTGTTTTGTGTTTTGTTGGTGGGCAGTCACAAAGGCCTGCCCAGGTTCAAGGGGAGTGGCCAGAGACTCCAGTGCTTGATGGTAGGAATGTAAATGAATTTGCAGCCTTATTTCAACACCCCCCCCCCCCGAAAAGGATTTGCGCCACATGCATCGTTATACAGTGAATGTTTTTGTTGGATGTTGTCGGAATTCTTGGACAAGGAGAAGTAAAACAAGGCAGTCTGGGAGATAACGCTTTGGCCAGAAGGAATGATTCGTCACTCCTGCCTGTGTATCTCAAGTATGGAGCTGAAGCTTGCCCTGTGAAGTCATTTTGGGGGACATGTTTGAGGCAAAGGAAATGTCTTTTCTTCCACTACCAAGAAAGGTATTAGTTAAGGGTCCAATATTGTGATGTTGAAATTTGTTTTTATTCTTTGCTTTGGTTCACTTTTGTTTTCTTAAAGCAACAGAGCCCTTTCTTTTGCCAATGTGTAAAGTGCAGGGGAGCATGGGAAGCCTGAGCTCCGCTGTGGCTTCTTCTACCTAAGCAAACCCGCGGGACTCAGTGGAGCACAGGTGAAATCCGCTTGCTGAGAAGAGAGCTCACCTAGTGAGCTCATTAGGTCTGTATTTGAGGATTCCGTGATTTTTTAAAAGATTGTCCGGAGAGGTCTTAGAATATGTTCTTGTCCTATTTGTGTGGCTCCTATGTATTGAAGTTTCTCTTCCCAAGAGAATAGTTGTCCTGTTTAATGTTTCTAATTCATGCAGCTCAATTTGTAGATCTTTCTTTGCAATATAGGCTAATATTTTATAGCAGTTTGAAAATTTCCTCAGAATCTAGCAGATCTTTTCCTGGTTTGCGGCATCTAACTATAGTTCAAGAAGAACAGCAAACATTTTAAAATAAAACTTTAATTTATATTTATTTAAAAGATAATAGCATGATCTTAGGAGAGAGGGGTGTTACTAAATAAAATAGTCATAGATCCAGTAATTTGGGAATCTAGCCTCCATTTCCATTATTGCCTCTGTTTAGTCTCTTTCATTCTTTAGACAGAAAAAGAAAGTCATTTTTTTTAGCATGATAGGTCATTGAGAAACTTCATCCTACCTTATGTCATTCAGGTGGGAGTATGGCAGCCTCTGGGCTCCATGAGATCACCTGGATCCTGTGGCTGTCTTCCTCCTCACAGGCAGGCATCTGTGCTGCACAAACCCGGGACAGACTCTGAGGCCCATCTCTTTAAGGACTCTTATCGGAGCACCTTCCCCGTAACAATGGAAACCTAGACACATGGCAGCCTTTATGTCCTAGTCTTTAGTGTTGTATATTGACCTGATACTGTATTTATTTATTTATTTGTCATTTTGGTTTGTTTTTTTGAAATAGGGCGTCATCATAGCTCACTGCAGCTTGAAACTCCCGGGCTCAAGGGATCCTCCAGCTTCAGCCGCCCAAGTAGCTGGAACTACAAATGGCATGCTGCCATGTCCGGCTAATTTTCCTATTTTTCGTAGATGTGGGGTCTTGCTATGTTGTCCAGGCTGGTCTTGAAATTCTGGCCTCCAGCAATCCTCCTGCCTTGGCCTCCCAAAGTGGCGGGATTACAGTCATGAGCCACTGTGCCTGGCCTATACTGACCTGATATTTTCAAAACTGATACATCCTGTTAACCAGTAACTTTAATCTTGTTTCGACAGGATTTGTTTTCTTCTCAAAATGCGAGTAAGTTAAAAGGTGCATCTCTGCCACCTAGCAAACTCCCCACATCGGTCTCCCTGTTTGATGATGAAGATGAAGAGGTAAACACTGTTATTGCAGCACGAGATAATTAACTTTTAGATTTGTACAAAACTGTCGTTGATGTAACTTTTGACTACCCAAAAACTTAACTGCAGCCTACTGTTGGCCAGAAACCTTTCCAATAACATGAACAGTTGATTAACACACAGACTGGTATCTACATCTGTTTTATGCATTTCTGATATGCCTAGCTTTTCCTTAATATTTTCCATATTTCTAGGCTACTCAATTTGTCTGCATGTTTTTTTCAAAGTGTTTGCAAATGTCCAAAAAATTTCCCAATGTATTTATTGAAAAAAATGCACATGTAAGTGGACCTGTACAGTTTAAACCTCTGGTGTTCAAGGGTCAACTGTACTTTTAAGAGGGTGGGTCTTTGTTATACCCAGTGATCTACGAGAATGTCTTGGATGAAGTTAGGGTGGAGAGGAAAAGGCAGCCATGTGCTGCCTGGCCTTTCTTTCCCATCCTGGAAAGAGCAAAGTGGGAGAGAAATAAGAGGGTAGACGAACCAGACCTTAACCCGTGAGCCGTGTGCACAGTGGCTGAGCTCATAGGCCTCAGGGTCAGACCCCAGCTGCACTATTTGCAAACCAGGGACCTTGGGCAGGAAGGTTAACCTTTCTTAATCTTCTGTGGCTTAACAGTAAATAGAGTCATTATGACAGCCATAACAAATACCTAATGTGAAGCCCTTGGCACAACACCTGGCACATTGGTAAGTGCATGGTGAATGTGAGCTCTTGTCGTTAGTTCCCCGTAGGACACCAGCTCATTATTCTCCTGGCCTCTCCTACCTTGCCATACTCCCCTTAAAGGTTCCCTTCGTTGATCTTTACATTCCAAGGCTGTTCATCTGCTGTGGGTGTTGTTAAGAGTAGACACTCTTCTTTCCATCCTAACTCAGGTTCAGGCCCTCTGATGGCTTTGTTCCTATTACCTTAACAAAAGCACCTTCGTAGATACTTTTGCAGTGCTTGACTGCACAAGACTTTACACATGAGTCGGTCTTTATTATGCCAGCAATTTTATTTAGTAAACTATTCCTTCACTTTGTATCACGTCTTTAAAATTAATTAGAATCACAAATCATTCCTTCCTCCATCCCAGGTGTGTGCCTTTCTTAGCTGTGAACCGAGTGGAGAGAGCCCCCTAGTTCTCTCCTTTCATCTGTTGCTGCGGTTTCTAATTCATGGAGAGGGAGGTGTGGGTTGCCGGCTGCTGTGCCTGCTGCAGACTGTAGGCCCCTGTGACAAGCAGGGAGGTGCTGTCTGCCCACAGGAGGGCTGGGTGGGGCCCAGTTCCCCCTTGTACTTCTGTGACCTTGTCCACACGTGTCCTCCCTCTCACTGACTCCCAGTTGCTGTGCCTTCGAATTCTCTTAATCTCTTTCCCATCTGCGGGTGGAGAACGCAGTGAGAAAAAGCTGTAGGATGGGGTTTGCTAGCATTTTGGCTCCCCCCCCAACAAAGGTGTTATATTCTGTACCTGACTGGAGACTTACTCCCTAACAGTTTGACATGGGAGAATGTCTTACATTTTCTGTTTTTGTATGTGAAGTTTTCATACCTTTCTGCCATTTGTTTTGCTAGGATAATCTTTTTGGGAGTACGACTGCTAAGACACAGACATCATCTCTACAAACTCAGAGTCAAAAGAAAGCAAAACCCTCTGAGCTCTCCAAAAAGAAAACATCTGCCTTGTTGTTCAGCAGTGATGAGGAGGTGGGTTAAGTTTTCTGCTGAAGAAGAGGAGGAGATTATTTGCTGGGAGTTAAGAGTTGTAGCCATCCTAAACACTTTCTTTTTCTACCTGTTTTGCATCTAGTGTTGTTCAGTCACCGAAGATGGTGTTCACAAGATTGTTTTTTTCTTTTTTGTTCTGTTTATCTATGTAAGATAGTTCTTTCTTAAAGATATTTAGTGTTATGTATTAATGTAAAGATAAAACTTTTCAAAATAGTTGGGAATAAGTATGGCTCCTAAACTGTAGCATATGCTAATTGAAATGAGTTAGGCCACGTGGGGGAGAAAAGATTTCTCACCCATTGCTAGGTTCATGGCTGCGGGCCATGAGCAGGTGACAGAGTAACAAGAGAAAAGCATACAAGTTTATTTAAGATAAGTTTTATGTAACACAGGAGCCTCTAGAAGTGAAGACTCAGAGAAATCAGAAAACTTGTGCTATATTTTCGTCTGATGGGGAAGTGGATAGTTATGGAGAAGCATGATTAGACAAAAGGATGTGACCTAATGGTAATAAACTGGGGCAGTTTAGCAAAGCCCGTGTGTTCAGCTTATTCTTTGCACCTCTTTGTCTTTAGAAATAAGGACATTCCTTTCCTCTGGGTATAGGCAGGGTACCTCTGGATTTTAGATCTTGTACCCTGCTCCAGAGAGGAAGGTCAGAGAATTCTTGTATGGTCCGCTTCAGAGGAGAAGGGCAAGGGGAAGATCAGAGACCTCTCTACTTCTGTTTCCACAAATGCCAAGGTGTCGTATTTTGGGGTAGCATGTCCTGTACCCCATCAACCATGCAGTACCTTGTTAAATGACTGTTTCATTAATTTAGAGCTATAGCTAGACGTGGCAGCAGTATCCTGTGCAAGTGAAACTCTTTTTTTGTAGGAGTCTTAATATTTCCATTTGTGATCTGGATACATATTAACAAAATCAGTAGTGAATATGATTAGGCTGCTATCTAAATCA